GTTGTTGTTGTTTGCCGTCGAGTCGGCCCCGACTCATAGCGACCCCTCCTTGGGTTTCCAATGATGACTAAGGTGCGCCTAACCTAAGCCATGGAATTTTCAGTCGCCTCATATGCATGTGAGAGCTGGACAGTGAATAAGGAAGATCAAAGAAGAGTTGATGCTTTTGAGTTGTGGTGCTGGTGAAGAATGCTGAAAGTACCGTGGACTGCTAAAAGGACTAACAAATCTGCCCTGGAAGAAGTGCAGCTGGAATGCTCCTTGGATGTGAGAATGGTGAGACTTCGTCTCACCTACTTTGGTCATGTTGTCAGAAGGAACCATTCTCTGGAGAAAGATGTCATACTTGGTAAAGCAGAGGGTCAATGAAAGAGGGGAAGGCCCTCAATGAGATGGATAGACATGGTGGCTCCAGCGATAGGCTCAGGTATAGTAGGGATAGTGAGGCTCACACAAGACCAGGCAGTGTTTTTGTTCTGCTGTACATAAGGTCACTATGAGTTGGAGATGACTCGACAGCACCTAACAACAGCAATAGCTAATGATCATGAGCATTTCTTCATGTGTTTGTTAGCTATCAGGATGTCTTCTTTGGTGTAGTGTCTGTACATGTCCTCTGCCCATTTTTAATTGGATTATTTGTCTTTTTGTTGTTAAAGTTTTCTACAAATTTTAGAGATCAGCCCCTTGTCCCATATGTCATTGACAAATTGTTTTCCCCAGTCTGTGGGTTTTCTTTTTTACTCTTTTGGTGGAATTCTTTGATGCACATAAGTGTCTAATTTTTAGAAGGTCCCAGTTATCTATTTTATCTTCTGATGTTTGTGCATGTTTAGTTATGTTCAATAGTGTATTTATGCCATGTATTGGGCCCCCTAGGTTTGCCCCTATTTTATTCTCTGATGGTCTTCATAGTTTTAGGTTTTATATCCAGGTCTTTGTCTAACTTTATTTTGTTTTTGTATATTGTGTGAGATAGGGGTTCTCTTTCATTTTTCTGCAGATGGAGATCCAGTTTTGGCAGCACCATTTATTAAAGAGACCACCTCTTCCCCATTTAATGACTTTTGGCCTTTTGTCAAAGATCAAATAGATGGATAGTTACTTCTGGGTTCTCAATTCTGTTCCATTGTCTGTGTGTCTGTCATAGTACCAGTACCAAGCTGTTTTGACTATTGTGACTATATAGTAGGTTTTGAGATTGGGGAGTGTGAGGTCCTACTTTGTTGTTCTTTAGTAGCATTTTACTTATCCAGGGTCTCTTTCCTTTCCATGTACAGTTGGCAATTAGTTTTTCCATCTCTGGTAAGAAAGATCTGGACAAGATTGTCTGTGGATCACGTTGGGTAGTATTGACATTCTTGTGATATTCAGTCATTCAGTCTTCCTATCCACAAGCATGATATTTTCTTATATTTATGTAGGTCTCTTGGTTTCTTATAGCAGTAATTTGTAGTGTTCTTTGTATAGGTCTTTTGTGTCACTGGTTAGATTTATTCCTAAATACTTCCATCTTTTGGGTGGTTATTGTAAATGGTATAGTTTTTCTAATTTTCTTTTCAGAGTTCTCTTCATTTATGTAAAGAAATCCTACTGAATTTTGTGTGTTGATCTTGTACCCTGCTACTTTGCTGAAATTTTCAGTTAGCTCCAGTAATTTTCTTGCTGAGTCCTTGGGAGTGGCTGGTGGGTTTGAACCGCCAGCCTTCTGGTTAGCAGTCAAATGCCTTAGGCACTATGCCACCAGAGCTCCCATATAAGAGCATATCATCTGCAAAAAGAGGTAGTTTTACTTCTTTTTCACCAATTCAGATGCTTTTTATTTCCCTTTCTTGCCTTATTGCTCTGACAAGGACTTCTAATACAATATTGAATAGGAGTGGTGATAAAAGACATCCTTGTCTGGTACCCGTTCGTAAGGAGAATGCCCTTAGTCTCTCTCCATTGAGAATAATGTCAGCCATTGGTTTTGTATATATGCCCTTAATCATGTTGAGGAATTTCCCTTCTATTCTAATTTTGTTCACCTTTTTTTTTTTAGTCAGTAATGGGGGTTGGATTTTGTCAAATGCCTTTTCTGTGTTGATTGATATGATCATGTCATTCTTTATTTATTTACGTGGTGAATTACATTGATTTTTTTCTAATGTTGTACCATTCTTGCATACCTGGTATGAATCCTACTTGGTCATGATGTATTACTTTTTTTTTTTAATATAGTGTTGGATTCTGTGGGCTAGGATTTTGTTGAGAATTTTGGTGTCTATGTTCTTGAGGGATGTTGGTCTCTAATTTTCTTTTTGAGTGGTGTCTTTGCCTGGTTTTGGTATCAGTGTTATGCTCACTTTATTAAATGAATTTGAGAATATTCCCTTCTTTTCTATATTCTGGGATCATTTGAGTAGAATTAATGTCAGCTCTTTAGGTGATATGTTTTGATCTAGTAAAACATTACTGTTATTTTTTCCCACATATAGCATGTTCATGGAAATAACATGCACGTAAAAATGACAGGCGGAAGTTCTGGCATAGTGCACCCATGTATAAATCATGCATGTCTTATGACATTTTCAGAAGTGAGGTTTGGCATTGGAGAAAGCAGTTTGCCTAGGAGGGAAGGAATCTCTCTGGGAGAGGGGCTGCTTTAGAAACTCAGGGGTAGGCTGCTGAGAGTCTACTGCTGGGAATCAAACTTCTGCATCAACAGGTATCAAGACAAAGACTTAATATTGAATCCATTGGGCGGAAAAAAATTGAAATAGAAGTCATCGACATGTTAAAAGAATATTGGTATAGCGTACTTATGAAAATAATGCACTGGAGGCTGGGCTGCACAGTATGCAAAAGTATATAGTGTGCACATTGTTTGTGTAAAAGTATGGTAGAGCCTCTCAAGACCCCTTGTGGTGGCTCTAGCAAAATGGGCAGTGAATTCACCATTGTGTGTACCACTCATTTCAGTGCATCATTGTTAGCTTGAGAGGGTACTAGGGCAGGAGTGGGGGGCACACAGTAGAAGCTCTGCCTACTTAATTATGGCACTGGATAAAACCATAGAAGGAAGACATCATCAAGCAAAAGTTCTCTCACCATATGTACAGTTTATTTGAACCTAAAAGCAGGTTTTGCGGAGTGGAGCAGTATCAGCATGAGAGGGCAGGACTTGCCAGTTTCACCTGGATACGGTTCATCCTCCTGGTTTGGGTTTATTCCTGCCTGGGAGGATCATTCGGATTTGATTTTCATTTGATCATCTATTGAATTCCATGTTGCTCTTAATAATAACACCACTCTCTAACAGCTATCGAGTGCTTGCTCTGTGCCAGGTCAAAGAAAAACATCCAGTGAAACAAAAAACCATGAGCTTTTTAAAATCTGGGTGGATTAGTGGAAGAGAATAGAAAAAAGTTAGGGGGTTTGAACAGTGGAATGGGTCAGTGATTTACTGAGTTTTCAAATAGGGCCATTTGGCTCCAAATGCTGCGTTTTCCTGTGATAAGGTTGTCTGGGTCCTGGGAGAACTCGGGGAGGAAGAAAGAGGATAAGGGACTCTGGTTAGGTGCCTGTAGATTGTAAAGACTGAGGGAGAGGAAGGTCAGGGTGATATTTCAACAGGAGATCATTAAGGCTGTCTTGATGAGTTCTTTGCAAGTAAGCAGTTTTCCAGAACACAAAAGGATGAGGTGATTTCTTTAACCATTGCTGTTCTCCATAATCATAGGGCTAGGGTAAAATTCAATTTTGTTAGTTGAAAGTGACAATTTGTAATTTATGTGCAGATTACTTCATGTTCTCTCTAAAGGAACTCTGAAAAATACCCGCAGCATCCCTGTGTGAACTCTGACTAGACTCAACATCTCCAGCTAAGCTTTTACTTACATCATCATCAACCAGCCTTCACCATGGTGTCCAGGCCTGGCCAGGGGCACTTATGATGGACCTTCTCTCAAAAGACATAAAACAAATACTTGCATTTTAACAAAGCCATGTTTCCCTGGGTGGAAATGGGCTTGTCTTCATCATTTTATCTGCCCAGTTGGAGGGAGAGAGAGATTCTTTAAAACCTCAAGAACCTCTAAGAAGACATCCTCATCCTCATCCTCATCCCCACCCCTTGGCTGACTTTGTTCCTCCACGTTTAAAAAGGAAACAGTGATAGAAAAATTCAAGAATAGTTAATGGTGATGGTTGAACAACATGTCATGCTGAAGCAGATATTCATCTAAAAAGAGGGAGTATTGGAAAATGCCTAGCATTCCATCCTTATATTGTCATCAAACTTACGTGAAATTAGGACATGGAGTCACCATCTGGGCTTCTTAAAATATTTCCCTTCCACCAGGGGTGTTTTATAGATCCCATATGTTCCTATTAGGGGGTTAGTACTTTGGGGACTTTGGAGTGTATGCTGAGTTTTACTTTCGTTCCTCTTGAAGGATAAAATGCTAAACTTTGGAACCAGGCATCTTAGGAGCAAGAAGTTCTTCGATAAGGCCCAGTAATGATCTCACGCTATGTCTTTGCTTCACAGATCAATTTCCAAAGCATATCCACCATCTCCAAAGAGCGTGAAGCCGCCATACCTAGGATCTCCAGTGAGATACCGCCTGCCTACCTTTTCCAGCCGAGAGATCCCTAAGAAGAAGGCAGAGAAAGAGAAGAGCAACAAGGAACGTGAAAGTGCCATTGGTCATCAGGCACTTGGTGCCCATGGAGAGGAGGCTCTTGAGAAGCACGTTGTGGATAAGCACATCACCGAGAAGCACTCTGCTCCTGGAGGGAAGGCCGAGTGTAGTGAAGGTAGGCCTTCCTCTCAGATGCGGCCATCTGGAGCCTTGAGTCTCCAAAGATGGTCCTCCCTCTGATCCATTCCAAGTAGAATGCTTGCCCTCTTCTGCTTTTCTCCCTTCAGTCACCTGAAGTTCCTCAGGATGAGGAGATGGAGGGGCCTAGCTCTGCTATGGGCTGTGGGAGTGCTCACAGGCTGAGTATAAGGCAGGCTGCGCCCAGCCAGCATATGCAGGCTTTCCAGCAAGAGAGGGGCTTACTCTAATCCTTTCAGCCTTTGTGATGCAGTGAGTTCACTCCGATGGGGACATCAGTGGCATCAGTGGTAGTGGCCTTGGAACTTGCTGGTTACACTCTCCTCAGCACCTATCCACTCCCCTATGCCATGAAATGTATCCAGGGTAACAGCAAGCCCCATTGCAGCTTCTCTTTGTCAGTGGCTAATTGTGCTAGTCCTGACAGTGTTTCCCTTACCCTGTTGAGTTGGACTTGACTTTTCCAAGTGGTGGCTGCTGCCTGAGTAGAATTACTGTGCTCATTTGCTTGAGTCTTTTCTTCTTGATGCCTTACCCCCAATGCAGCCTCAGGGAAGCCCACAGCAGGTACCACTGATGCCGGAGAGGCCTCAAAGATCCTGACTGAGAAGAGACGACAGGCCCGGCTGCAGAAGGAACAGGAAGAACAAGAACGACTGGAGAAGGAGAAACAAGACAGGTACTGGCTCAGAGTTTTTGGGGTGATCTCATGGGAAAGGCTGCAGTGGTAGAAGCAACTTGCCTTCTTTTACAGTTTTGGAATTGATAAAAACCCAGCAGCAATCTGGGAGCCTAGAATGCCTGATTTGCACAGAAGGTGCTCGGGGGTGCTGTAGCTGCTATTAAATGTAATTCACAGTGATGAAACTTTGCTGTTTTCAGAATGCCTGGAAATAAATAGCTCCTGGATCTAAATGGTACAAGCAGCTTCCCCTTCTTCTCTTGGACTTTGAGGCCAGCCAGTTCTCATGATGTATCTCTGAGCTTTGTTTATAGAGTAAGATTCTCTTTGAGGAGACAGAAGGTTCCAGATGTAGAGATCTTGATTCTGCTTCCTGAAGTTGTATTTTTTCACCCAAAGTATTCTAATGCACTAGGAGCTCTGGTAGCATAGTGCCTAAGGCACTTGACTGCTAACCAGAAGGCTGGCAGTTCAAACCCACCAGCCACTCCTCGGAAGGAAGATGGGGCAATCTACTTCCATAGTGATACTGCCTCAGAAACCTAAGGAGGGGTCGCTATGAGTCAGGTCCGACTTGACGGCACATAACAACAACAACAACATTCTAATGCACACACTAAAGAGAGAAAGAGAGTTGAGCAGAGTTCCCTAGAGAGGGGTGGAAATCGACCTCACAGTCCATGAGCAGTGAGGTGTAGAGAAGCCCACTCTGGAGCACAGCAGGAAGACATCACTGGGAGGGTACCAGAACTATCTGGGCATGTGGCACAAAGACTTCAATGACCTTGGGCCTTTGTAGCTTTATAGTGATCCAGGTGATTCTGATGTAATGCCATTTGAGAACGACTGCAGTGGTAGTGCCAGGACACTGTCCAAATAAAGACAGTCCTGCCTTTTCTGATCTTTGTATTCAGAGAGGACTGCATGCTAAGGACAAGGTAGATTTGATCATTAAATTGATAAAGGAAGCTTTTAGAATAATCAGAGTGTAGTCCAAGCCACTTAGAGAATTAGCATGACAGGAAGCAAGTGATGCCACAGCATCTCAAGTCTGGCACAGAATTTAGAATAAGAAACAGAATATTCTTGATCCTTATATGACCTTGGCAAGTCTTTGGTCTCTGATTACAGATTTGCTGATCTATTTGAAAAGAGCAGGGGGTGGAGGGGAGGTGGGTCACGCTGGTCCGGTCTTGCTTCAAATTCTGGACCTTTCTGATGGTTTCTCCACCTCCAGTCTTTTGGTTAATATTGGCAGATTTATTATTAACTGGAGTGTTTGGGCTGTCTTGAGTGAGCCATAAGGTATGTGAAGGGAGGTTGCAGGAGATGAAGATGAATCGTGGGTCTTCAAATGCCAGACATTGGTAATTTCAGGCCCTGAAGATACCATGCAGGCACTGAGCAGGTGAGTAACCTGATTGTTAACTGTGTGCTTAGCAGGATGAAGTTCTTTACCTTCCTATTACCTCTCTTTCTGTCACACACATTTCCTTCACAGCCCAGCTCCTCAGTAAAGTGATTGTACTTCCTGCCTTTACTTCCTCAACTCAGATTCAGTCTTCAAACTCACATCTACCTTTCCTCCTAATTGCCAAACTCCTACTCACTTTGTTGGCTTTGACTTTTATCAAGCTTTCTCTTGCTTCCCTGGTTTCTTTTTTCAGTCTCCTCTGTCTGCTTCGCAATCCCAGCCCTCAATCCTTGGCTGGTTTCTCCCCTGACGAGCCTCCCTAAACAGTGTTGCTTCCTCCTACTCCACCATTGGCCCCATCATGCTGAAGGGGTGTTTTGAGCATTTGGCGTGCTAAACCAACCAATCTCTCTTTGTACCCTCATTTTCCCTTTTCCTCATTTTATCATCTGTTATTTTTATCTTGCTTTGTAACCTTAAACACTTTTGAAACAAAGGAGGCACTAAATACCACAAACATGCTGATGACTCCTGACTCTGTACCTATGGCCATTGCCTTCTCTAGAGCTGCCCTGTCCAGTAGGGCTGCCTCTAGCCACACATGGCTATTGAAATTTAAACTGATTAAAATCAAGTATAATTCAGTTCTTCCATCACATTAGCTTCATTTCAAGTGCTTAGTAGCCACATGTGCTTAATATCTGTCATATTGGACAGCACAGAAAATTATGTTGCACAGTACTAGGTTGCCTTACATTTTCATTTGAGTTCATGTGCATCTCAAATTCAGCATGTCCAAAGTGACACGTATTCTCTTTCTCCCAAAAGTCCTCTTCCTTCCACAAGGGTCACACCTCCATCTCCTCAAGCATCCATGTCACAAGTCTCAGTGCTCACTCTCAACTCTTTCCTTTCCTTCTCCCTCTACATGTACCTGGCAGCTCTCAAGTCACCCTCGACTATCTCATTACCATCTTTGTCTTTCCCTCAGCCCTCCTCTCCTGTCTGATCTCAACCCATTGTCTCTTATCTGGACTATCTGTGATATCACAACTCATCTCCCTGTGCTGTCCACCCTCTGTCCATAGCGACCTTTCTAGAGTAAGTGTGATTGTCTACCTTCCCGTACTTAAAACAAGCCAGTGACTCCCTTGCCCAAGGATCCATCCAAACCCATCAACAGGCCTTCAAAGCCTGCCATCAATGGGCATTAGCCATCTCCTCACCTCTCTCCCATCCTGGGTATCAGCGTGCAGACCTCCCTGTTATTCCCCCACCCATACTTCCATATCTTTATTCTGCTGTGCCTTTAGATGGACTCATGTGCCTTCGGGCACGGACACCTTTTCATTTCTCAAGATTCATGTCAAACCTTGCTCCCTCTCAGTAGCTTTTTCTGGCCCAGCACCTAGGATAGAATGGACTGCGCCTCACTCTGTACCCTTCCTGAGCCCAGCTGTGCAACTGACTGACAACTTCATTTGTTTCTAGGCCTGTTCCTCTGAATAACCTGGGATACAGTTTTGAGATCCCCAGTTCCTGGCACTCAGTGCGTGTACTAGGAAGGACGAGAAAGAGGGAGAAGCCCAGCAATGAAACTGTTGCAAATAGGAGGTTAACAGAATATAAGGGCTGAAGTAGTAATGTTGAAGCAGAATTGGGAAAGTCAGGTTGTCCAGCTAAAGTCTGTGGACTTTACAACTTGGGAGAAACAGGCAGATCCAAAGGTGATGCTCAGGTTTGACCATAAAAACCTGGGAGAATAGTATACCCAGTAACAGAGGTAGGGAAGATAGAGGGGATTGATTTCAGAGGATAAAATTTATCCATCTGACTTTAGATAAACTAAACTATAAAATATCCAGCTGACTGGAAGCATGACATTGAAGCCTGGGGCCTTGGTACAAATTAGAGCAATACATTTGACCCAAAGTAGAAATCAGTGTGATACACTTGACCCCAAACCAGTTTTCCTCTCTCTTGCCAGAATGTGAAGCTTTGCATAGCCCCACGTGGGAAGTGAGAAAGGAAGGTACCAGACAGCCTGAGGCTGGAACACAGCGGACATCTCTTGGAATAAGAACATCCTCACGTCTGTTTTATGCTTAGAGTTAATAGTTAAAGCAACAAAAATGTGGTTGCCAAATTAAAGAAAACAGAAAATAATAAAGCCACTTGAGCCTAACTGTGGAGAGCCCAATTATTGTTGCAAACTGGCAAGGGAAACACCATCCAAGTGAAGGATGGTGGGACTGCCCAGAGCAGAAAGGCTGACAGGAATCCAGACAACCAGGCCCTAGGAAGAAGAGCAAAAGCTGGCCCAGTCCCAGCCAGCAATGACACTGGGACTCTCAGAAGCATGGAGAACAGGGCATAGTTGCTGGGCCACTGAATGGTCCCAGGTGTAAATCAGGATTCTTAGAGTCAGGGCAAGAAATCTTAGAACCTGGGCCCACCTTAGGGAAGGTGTTGGCAGCAACTAGCAGCAAGAAATCTTGCTAAGGTACAGAAATGGATCACACGAAGCCATATTAAAAAGCTTAAAATAGAGAGGTGCATATAGAAAGACATTCAAATTAGGGAACCACCTATAAGCACTGCACGCAACCAGGCTGAGGCTTGGTGTCCAGGCAAGGGTGGGTGTTTTTGCAGCAGGCCTGGAGCCACAGGCAGAGCTTCTCAGATGTGGTTGCTTACTAGCTGAGCTTCCAGATTGTTTGGTGATACCAGGTAAGGCAGAGGGGAGTTCCAGAGGAGGGAGCCAAGGCAACACAGCTCTCCTTGAGGTGGGACATTTAATGCCAAGACATTACAAGAGGTGAGGACAATCTATTAGTCTTGGTGTTTAGGAGATGAACAGGGATTTTGGAGGAACATGTTTAGGAAGAGGGGTGGAGACAGAAACCAGGTTGTAAGAAGTGAGAGGGTAGAGCAGTGCACATCAGCTGGACTTTAACTGGTTCACAGGTGAGAGGCAGGGCAGAGAGAGCCTGGGCAAGTTGTTTGGGGTACTTGAGCCCTGCGTATTTTTGCAGGCAATGGGAAGGGGTATGTAGAAGGGAGTGCTAGCGATAGAAGGGAGAGAGAATAATGGAAGGGACATGGAGCTGGGGAAGGCATGGAGTTAATAGCAAAAGTGAAGAAGTTTGCAGTCCTTTGCATCTAAGCGGCAATGCCGTAGAGGAGAGAAGGCCCAGAAAGGTGGCATCATATTCTCTCTAACCTGGCTGGAGAAAGATGACAAAGATCGAGAAAAGGTGGTGGTTGGGGGGAGATTGGACACCCTATAGGGACGTGGGGGATGAGGATAAAAGGGGAGAGTGTAGCAGTCAAGGCGTATGTGGGCCTCACTCTAACCACCTCTCAGCAGCCTGGGTATGGGACACGAGTGGGTCCATGGGTCACCTACACCTAGAGCTAGGCAGCAGAGTGGTTTCTCTGCCACCCTAGAAACACTTATGAGGGAACCAGAGGGCCAGGAGGCAGCAAGAGAAGAGGGAAGCAGACACAGGTCAGCTGGACAGTGCTTACCAGGACCAGGTCAGGAAACCAAGCAGCAGAAGGATGAGTTGAGATCAAATCAAAGGTGAAATTCAGAGTTTAAGATGTTAAAGCCTAAGCTTTTGTTACAATAAACACTTGTAGGCACACAAAAAGAGTACAGTGGAACCCACCTGCTTGCACATGGAAAGGCTGAGCTTGCAGCAGTGAAGTGGGGCAAGCTGTGAAAGTGGCACCAGAGGGATAAGGGTTTTGGGGCAGAGACAGCTACTGCCCCCTCCCCATTGTCCAGGGACACAGGCGAAATGCTGGATGATGACAGTGATGCTCACTTTTTGAGTACTTCCCACTAAGTTGGTGAGGAGGGGTGTATGTGACAGAATTGCACTCAAGTATGGTGAACTTTAGAGAGAAATCAGTAATGATGGCAAGGGCGGTGGGGGAATAATGAAATTCATGCTCCCTCTGAGCCCTTAAGCAGGCAGAAAAAGAATGTTCATTCTTGGAGAGGATTTGAGAAACTAGGAGTTTCACACGTGGTTGAGGGTGCAAAGCCAGCTTTTACTGTCTTTTTACTTGTTTGTATATATATATATATATGTATATATATGGATGGGATTTCTATGGAGGCACCATGAAAGAGTTAAGGGGCTGGTAGGGAGGAATTTGTGTTTTGGGTGATAATTGAGGATCGTGACGATTTGGGGCCTGTGAAGATGTTTCAGTACATCTGTCCATCTGGGCACTTCTGAAGTCCTGGTGGGAAAACCAGAAGAAATAGAGTGGATTTCACATCCTGAAGATGCAGATAACATGTCATTTATGGATTAGCTTGTGCATTCATCAATACATAATGTATCCTTTTTGTATTAACTTTTCTGGGACAGTCAAAACTTACTCCCTAAAAAGGGGATAAGAAATGAAACCGCGCTCTGATTAACCTGTTGTTGTTGTTACCTGTGGATAAATCTTATTACCATTGTGTCCATTTTTAATAATCCTGTGTTGAACGTACTTGGTCTTTCATGGGAAAATCTAAGAGAACTTGACTTTCTTTCAGTTAGGGCCCATGTTGCTCCTCTCTGGAGTGCTCTAGAATATTTTTTTAAAAAAACAATTTCTGTTATGCTAGCAATGCTTTTGGCACTGCACTCTCTGCTAATGCAGAATACGTTATCTGCATACTATTGCACTATCTTGGGTTACCATTTATATATATTTTTTTTTACCTTTTAAAATATTTCATAGGCTATTAGCCTTCACAGTTCCTGAAGCTATTAGGATGGAAGGATCTCATTTTAAACCCTGAGCTTTTTATATAACAGTACCCTAGCAAGTCAGTGACACGTTCCCCACCCCACCCCCACAGCAAAAAAGGTAATTTCTGAAAAGTGCAGTTTTCTAGATGCACTTAAATGGGCATTAAGGTTGGGGCTAGGAGTTGTCTTAAATTATACAACAAACTAACATTTGAGAACCTACTAAGGCTAGGCATTGCACTGAGGACTTCCCATGCATTTTCTCATTTAATTGTCACAGTAATGATGTGAAGTAGTCATGTGGCTATTCTCATTTTTTTAAAAATAAACACTAGAAAAGTTGAGTGACTTTCCAAAGATCGCACAGCAAGTGGCACAATCAGAATGCAATCTAGGTCCTACCTGTATGTCTTCCTGGCTGTCAGGGATACTTTTCAAATAAGTAAATGACTCACCACATGTTTTATAGATGAAGAAAGTGACATACATGTGAGAAAGAAGAACATTAGAAATGTAAGAAAAATCCCTGAGACTTTACAGCATTTCCCATTGCTTAGAGCTCTTTATCATTACATCATGAACCATTCATCTATGGATGAGAGATGTCTAAATGCCATTGAATTTTGATATCACAAAGAATAAAAGCTAAAATAGAGTTTTAAAGATTGGTAAAATCAATGGAAAAATGTGTAGTTTTTATTTCATTTTTATAGTAAATGAATTTGAATATTTTCTTATATTTGCTGCTTCAGAAGTCACATACCAATGAGAACCCAAAGTGAAGTTTTTGCACTCATAACCATCACACTTAAATTGTTTACTGAGATACTTTTTAAAAGTATCTTGATATACTTCCAGGTTTTCCTAGCTTAAGTGGATTTTAAATACTTACTCTGCTTAGTTTTTTTCTGTTTGTTTGTTTTTTAAAAGAATTGTCCTTACATAAGAATGATGAGATTGGCTTCCTTTCTAATTATGGTCATTTATAGATTGACTGGGGAACATCTGTGTCTCATAGAATTTAAAATCAACCCTGGTTAACTTTCTTTTTTTGGGGGGGTATGTGTGTGGTGGGCTTTTTTTTTTTTTTCTGTTGTCATTGTTTTGTTTTTGTTTTGGGGTAAATACACAAACTCTAGATTGATTGAGTGGGTTTCCAGGAAGAATAAGTCATTTTACTCAGTGGATACTAATTCCTGTGTATGGGTTGTCATCACACAGCAGTTCTTTGGCAGGCTACCATTTCAGCGTGTCCTGTTCTAACAACAATTATGTCCTCAAAAGGCTGGAGAAAGAGGAACTGAAAAGAAAGGCAGAGGAGGAAAGGCTTCGTCTAGAAGCAGCAGCCCGTAAACAGGAAGAGGAAAGGAAGTGGCAGGAAGAGGAAAAGAAAAGAAAGGCAGAAGAGGAAGCCAAGCAGAAGGCTGAGGAGGAGCTACTGTTGAAAGAAAAGCAAGAAAAAGAAAAGAAGGAAAAAGAAAAGCAAGAAAAAGCCATGATTGAGAAGCAGGTACAGGGTGAATCCTTAGAAAGACTTTCTTGTGTTTAAAGGGCTTTAGTTGATATTATGTAAAATTAGTTAAACTGAATCACTCATAATACTTTGAAAATATTTTAACTGCCTGGGCTGGTTAGGAAATAAAAGTTACTTTGGGGAACAAAAGTGAAGTTGGTAATAATTTGCTGTATGTCAGCTTGGGTTCCCCCAATGACAGACTCTGGGATAGAATTTGGGTACAGGTAGTTTATTTGTTGACAGTCACTCATTGGGGAGTTAGCTTCCTGAAACTTCCAGCCATGTGCACATTCCATGGCCAGAGACTGCCTCAAGGTACAGGAAGACCTTGGTTGTATGTGAGAACTGTCTGCAGGTAATTTGCACAGTGAACCAAGAATATATGAGTGGGGCACCAACCATGTCTGCTGCATTGTAGAACACTTCTGTAATTTATATTAAATATTGGAGCAACACCCATTTTTTGGAAGGTAATGAGTTTAAGGAGCATGTGCAAACCACAAGGAAGTATTATAGTATTTTCTGAGCTAAATAAATAAAGCCTGGGTTTACCTGTCTCTATCAGAAAGAAGAAGCCGAAGCAAAGGCCCAAGAAGCAGCTAAGCAGATGCGTCTAGAAAGAGAGCAAATCATGCTCCAGATTGAGCAGGAACGACTGGAGAGGAAGAAGGTAAGGGCTGAGGGATCAGGAGGATTTAGGGTGAGGCAGAAACAGGAAGTGAGTATAGTTATATTTTGCAATTGTTGGGTAGATTGCTCTTAAAATTGTCAGTGAGGTCAAGTATATTGATAAAAAAACAAAACAAAAAACCCCAAACCCACTGCCAGCAAGTTAATTCCAACTCATAGCAACCCCATTGGGTTTGCAAGGCTGTAAATCTTTATGGAGTAGGTTGCCTCATCTTCCTTCCACAGAGAAGCTGGTGGGTTAGAACCACTGACCTTCTGGTTAGCAGCCAAGTGCCTTACCCACTTGTTACATCATTTTGTTTTATTAATTACTGAGAAAGGACTGTCTGAAGCTATCACCTGTGACTATAGATTTGTCTGTTTTTCCTTTAAGTTCTTTCCATTTTGGTTTATATATTTGAAAGCCCTATTGTTAGGTGAATATACATTTCTGATAAATTTTCCTGTTGAATTGACCTCTTTATCATTATAAAATATCCATCTTTATCTCTAGTAATACTTCTTGTCTTAAAGTCTCCTTTGTAAGCTTTATTACTAGTATTTGCATGGTAAATCTTTTCCTATCCCTTTACTTTCAACCTATGTATGTCCTTACAGGTATGAGTTTTGTAAACAGCATGTACCCAGCTTTTGTTTTTATTAAATCTAGTTTGACAATCTTTGTCTTTTAATTGGGGTGTCTAGTTTATTTAAATGTAATGCAATTGGCATAGTATCTAAGGCCTTTGACTGCTAATCAGAAGGCTGGCAGTTCAAACTCACCAGCCACTCCTCTGAAGGAAGACTGGACAATCTACTTCCGTAGAGATACTGCCTTGGAAACCCAAGGAGGAGTTGCTATGAGTCGGGACCGACTTGACAGCGATGAGTTTGTTTTTTTTGGTTTTTATGCATAGAGTTATGGAGGCTGATCATAAAGGTCCATTCTTGTGCCCTACATATAGCCTGGGCTTTGTATTGCTGTAGGCCTGGGAGCTGGGAAACCAGTCTGTGCCTTTCCTCCTGACGTGCACTTCACCCTCACTTTCTGTAAGATGGTCCTCTTGAGGGACAGGTGGTGATTTGTTGAATTAAAGGTAACTTAAAGAGAAACGGGATATAAGTTGAATGTTGATTCTAGATATATACTAGTCAACTTCTCAAGTATTTGACCTTGTTCATAGAGCCAGACGTGGACATCTGTAAAACCAGTGGAAAACTTTTTTGTACTCATGAGCCTCTGCTAACATGTGTCTTTCACTAGTTTTCTGAGGAATGTGAAACTGCATATAGACCCAACTACTGTTGTATGTTTTGGATTTGATTTTTTTTTTTTTTCAGAGAATAGATGAAATCATGAAAAGAACAAGGAAGAGTGATGTGTCTCCAGAAGTGAAGGTAGGGAATTCAGGGTACTCTTTTAGTGGTTCATGTTCTAAGTAGAAAAGAAAGATGGAATACATTCTAGGAAATTTTAGGTCTTGAAGAGGATTAGCCAGAAAAATACAGATTCTTCTGCTTTGTTCCTGGGTAGATTAAGGAGGGTATAGGTCCCTCAAGGAGTCCCTGGGTAATGTAAAGGGTTAACACAGCTGCAAATCAACAGTTTGGAGGTTCAAGTCCACCCAGATAAGCCTTAGAAGAAAAGCCTGGCAATCTTCCTCCAAAGACCCAGGCATTGAAAACCCTGAGGTGCGCAGTTCCCCTTAGACATGCAGGGCTACCCTGAGGCAGGAGAAAAAAGAACTAACAGGAGTCTCAGAGACAAGGTGGTGGTAACTTATTATAGATAAAAGATTTCCTCAGGGCAATAGGGGTGAGAGAGGTGCTTGTAATGTCATAGTGTTGTTGTTGGGTGCCATTGAGTTGATTTAGTCGCATAGTGACCTCATGTGACAGAGTAGAACTGCTCCATAGGGTTTTCTAGGCTGTCATCTTTATGGGAGCAGATTGCCAGGTCTTTCTCCCACGGAACTACTTGATGGGTTCGAATCACCAACCTTTTGGTTAGTAACCAAGTGCTTAACCATTGTACCATCAGAGCTCCTTAAAGATGCTCCCTTAAAGGTATCTTCTGTACCTTTGAAACTCTTTTATCTTTCTATGTGAATCAACCTCTCTTTTCATCCACCCTGTATTTGTTTTCAGAAAGAAGACACTAAAGTGGGGATTCTCCCTGTTGTATGTGTGGAAAATAAGACAAAACCAGTTGTCCCCAACAAAATTGGTGAGTGTGAGGTCTAGTTCTTGGGTGCTCCCTTTAGAAGGGGAGTGCTCATTCAAGGCTTCCTGAAGAGGGAACCACCTATGGTTTTAAGAATGCTGGTGCTGACTATGAGACCAGATGATCTAGATGGTGCCCGGCTACCATTGTCAACCACTTGGAGTGGGATCTGTGTAGGAGAGATCCTGGATAGAGAGGGAGAACAATGTGGAACCAAACTCAAAATCATTTGGGGAAAAAAAAA